ACATACATATATATATATATATATACATATACATATATACATACATATATATATATATATATATATATATACATATACATATATACATACATATATATATATATATATATATACATATACATATATACATACATATATATATATATATATATATATATATATATATATACATACATACATACATACATACACACACACACACACACACACACACACACACACACACACACACACACACACACACACACAAACATATATATATATATAGTTTTCTATCATATTTTGTACGGTGAGGGTCTAAAAAAATTTTATTTGAAAGTAATTATTACATCTGCGCAAATGTAGCCCCCACCTTTAATCTTACACCAGTCCAGCAGTCAAATCAGTTTTAAAAAACGAAAAGGGTAATTTATTATTTTTAGTTGTGTACTCATTTTAAGAGAACAAATCATTTTACAAGATGCTTTACATGTTATTATTATTTTGCATCAATATAAAATGTAGAAAAGGAGATCTAGTAACATAAAAAAATAATTAAAGTACAAAAGGTGCATCTTAGAACTTTTGGGCCCCATGGCTGGAATTGCTTAGAGTCCCCAAATCACTAAATCCACCCCTGACAGTAAGTACCCTTGCTGATTAAAACTAGAAATTCACATAGCATAAGCATACCTGAAATGAATCTTCCCAGACTGTATCTCTCCTTCTCTCCATTGGCTGGATTTGTCCGACGGGTTGAGAGACCCTTCTAAAATATGTTCCCACAGATAAAGTCCTGGGAAATGTGAACATGGTTTGATTTTAATGCACAAAACAGATTCAAAACAAAGCAAGAACTGTAAGTATCTCAGAAAGCATCATTTATATGCTTCACTTACCTATGGCTGCTTTGCCCCAGATCTGAACTTTATATGTTTTCGGCCTGTTTTTAGCAGCCTGGTCTCTGTATAATCTAAAGGCATCTCTCCGCTTCTGCACAACCACAGAATGAGCGCGTTCATCCTCCTCCCATGGGTTCCATTCTTTCTCTCCTGCCTTTCCCGTTTCTGGAACAATTGTACAATATTTTATCACGTGTAACTTAGCTAGTATGTAATACTGTATCGTCTTACTATCAAACCCATAGACTACACTGGACATGATTCATTCTCTTACCGATGATCACAGAGCCCTTTTTCACCACTCGGTGAACGCGAGAAATCACCCTCTTGCTGAAAAACACATTATATGCTGCGTAAAGCGAAAATATCGCGTACGCCAAAATAACTATAATCGCTATTTTCCGGCGAAAAAATCTCATGTTGGATTTTCAGGTGACCATCTTGCAGATCCCGACCAGTATGTGAGACGTCCAATTCACTCCTTTCTGCTTGCAAATCGAATCTTTATAATGAACTGGTTCTCGTTTAAACGATTCATTTACAAAGATTGAAAACTAGTAAGTAAACTGAAAAGATTTGGATGTTCAGTTCGTCAAGACTGTTCAAGAGAACCGATTCGTCCAACGTCTCGTCACTACTGTTTACATTTTTTTTGTGACTTCCCTCGCACTGCCTGTTCAAAATGATATTTCTCAGAACAAATGTAAGTTTTTTTAACAAATACCGCGGAAATGCTAATCTAATTATATATTGTACTTACCATTTTTAGCAAGAATATTCTAAATAATTCTGTTTTTATTTGTTTTTCCTACTCAAACAATGTGCAGTCACCGGCAGTCACCTATAAAAGACTGAAGGCGGAGTTTGGCTGGACAGCCTCACTTTTTAAAGGCTGCTGCTATGGGTCACTTTATCTGTCTACTTTAAGCCTTTTAGTTTGCCCAATTTGCATTTATCTGTTCCAACATTAAATAAAACAGTAATCTGTAGTATTATTTATAAGTATTATTAGATATATTTATTGAGCATCGTTACTTCAGCCATAGCCACTAATTTAGAAATCATTTCGATATGTGTATTTGCTTCTCTGTTATGAAAAAGTATTATTGCTCCTCAGTCATTAAGATTCTTTGCATTATTATCAATGTTGAATCCAATTTGCAAAAATTTTCAAATAACATTACAATTTAATCTAGAATCAACATATTAAGACATTCTAATTGAATGCATTTTAAATGTAGCCATTTGTATAAATAATGAATACAGCATCATTGCTTCAGTTTTAAAAATTAGCATTTTTTGCAAACAATGTTGTTTGTTATTATGATTTGTGCTCAGTAAATAATAATGGTCATTCCCAAGTTTTTAAACTGCTTAAATATCTGTGGAAATATTTCATTTAATATAATAATTTAATGGGCTGCACGGTGGCGCAGTGGGTAGCACGATTGCCTCACAGCAAGAAGGTTGCTGGATTGAGCCTCGGCTGGGTCAGTTGGCATTTCTGTGTGGAGTTTGCATGTTCTCACCGCATTGGTGTGGGTTTCCTGCTGGAAGGTCATCTGCTGCGTAAAACATGTGCTGGATAGATAAGTTATTAGTTCATTCCGCTGTGGCAACCGCTGATTAATAAAAAGGGTTGGCCGTAAAGAAAATGAATGAATGAATAATAATTTAACAGAAAATGTATTTAAAAAAATCTACTGCAACATTATAAATGATAATTGAAATAAAGTATATTTTTCTTTTTCATTAATTTTCTAAAGCTTTATTGCTGAATAAACGTTTTTCTTTATTATTCATTCATTCATTTTCTTTTCAGCTTAGTCCCTTTATTAATCTGGGGTCGCCACAGCGGAATGAACCGCCAACTTATCCAGCATATGTTTTACGTTGTGGACGCCCTTCCAGCCGCAACTCATCAATGGGAAACACACATACTCATTCACACACACACACACACACACTATCGATAATTTTTGGCCTACCCAATTCACCTTTACCACGTCTTTGGACTTTGTGGGGGAAACCGGAGCACCCAGAGGAAACCCACACAAACACGAAGAGAACATGCAAACTCCACACAGAAATGCCAACGGACCCAGCTGAGGCCCAGCA